TGCTGTGGGTGCAGGAGGGGTTTTGTGTGTTGGAGGCTTCTGAAAGATGGGGAAGAGACTTGCCCGTGCCCCTTTAGCTGTGTGCTAAAGGGATTCAGGATAAGCAAGTAAAAAGTGGGCTGGTTTTTGCAGGTTCTGGGACATATCTGGTTTTACGTGGTGGAAGAAAAAGACATTTAGAAGTTCCCATTGAACAGGTCTGAGCTGGATGTCCTGCTGTGAATCCATTTTTCCTGCCGGGATGATGTATTCAATACGCAGCTGTTGTGCACGGAGCTGTTCTGGCCAAGGAGAAGTCAGAAGCAGAAGGAATTTAAACAGTGCCCATGGATATGGGTTGGGAGAGTGAGATAACAAGAACTCACGGAGTTCAAAGGTGCCAAGTCTTGCACTGGAGTAAACCCAGTCCCGGAGTGCAGTGGGATCTGTCCTGGGAGCAGCTCTGTGGAAAGGGACCTGGAGGTCCTGGTGGACACCAGCTCAGTATGAGTGAACACTGTGTGGCTGCTGCAGAGAAACCCAGTGGGATACTGGGGAACATCAATAAAGGCATCACCAGCAGAGATAAAGATGTGATTGTCCCCCTTTACTCAGTGCCCGTCAGGCCACAGCTGCAATACTGTGTTCAGTGTTGGCCCCCACTGTACAAAGAAGCTGTGGACAGGCTGGAGAGGGTTCAGAGAAGGACCACAAAGATGATCCAAGGGCTGGGAAGCCATATGAAAGGTTGACAGGGCAGGGACTGTTCAGCCTGGAGAAAAGAAGGCTCCGGGGAGACCTCATCACCATGTTCCAGTGTTTAAAGGGTGGCTGCAAAGAAGATGGAGACTCCCTTTTTGCAAGGAGTCACAAGGAAAGACAAAAGGGAATGAGCACAAGTTAATCCTGTGGAGATTCTGACTGGACACAAGAGGAAAATTATCCACATTGAGAACAATCAGCCATTGGAATAATCTCCCCAGGGAAGTGGTGGGTGCCCCAACGTTGGACACTGTTAAGATTCAGGGGACAGGATGCTGGGACATCTGATCTAGGTCATGCTTTGTCTAGAAAGGTTGGACCAGATGACCCTTGAGGACCCTTCCAACCTGGGATTCCATATTCCATGATTCTGTGATATGTATCTCCTTTCCCTTTGCGTGGATTTCACTTCGATCATCTAATAGAGATGTTACTCACCCTTTCTCGATTAGCGCACCCAACTCGGCTGTGTTTATGTCTCTGCAAAATGGCTTTTTATATATTTAGCAGCTTTAAAATCAGATACAACTTCTGCTCTCGTGTCACTACCTTGTTTTCAACTGAATCTTTTCAACTGATTTGATTTACTTGTTTGTATTATAAAAACACAGACCTTCCACAGGAAAAAGACTGGAAAGTTTAAAAGAGTAAAGAATAATTGAGCGCAGCCAATATTAGATCAGCAACTGAGATGTTCTGGAAATTTTTTTGAGAGTTATTTCAAATCCGTTTACAGAAGCTTCACAAAAACATGAAGACTATTTACTGCAATGTCTGAAATACCTGTATTTCTGCTCTGCTCTCTTTCCTTTCAATGTCTTAATGCTTTCATGCAGTGTCACTGAAAGAATAACTGTGGTATATGCTATATATTCTGTATAGAACACAAGTAGAATATGTTCTATATAAAGTGTAGAATAGATGTAGAATATAAATATAAACTATAAACCAATAAGATAATAAAACAATAATAACAACAGATTATTGTAACATGTAATTTTGACCTCTTTTACAATTCCTTACCCAGTGATTCATGGGGGTGAGTACATAATAGGTGATGTTTTGTACTTAAGATCTTGTCCCATTCAAAACCCTTTTGTCTTTGTCCAGTTTTTTGTGGCATCTCCTTTTGTCATTTAAGATGACAGCAGTTATCTACTGCTGGTGTGAGAGTCTGGGTTGTGTATAAAAACCCAACGTTTTCCTTCCTAGGTATGGATGTTCCCTGCTGCAGGGAGGAGGCTGGTCCATCCTCGGAAGGAAACAAGGAATAAATCAGGGACTCTCATTTGCCAGGACATTGTGATGGGTAGTTCTGTTACCTCTATCTGCCCCTCCACGGATCCAGGCACCAAGCCATTGGCAGAGGTGCACAGAAATCTTTTTCCCATTATTTTCCATGATGGAAACTTCTCCCCATGTACCATAATTCAGCATCCCTGACCCTTGGCTGGTATCGCCATCATGCTCTCAGCACAGTGATGACATAGGAAAGAAAACCAAAGAAGCTGCAGGTATAAAGGGACCAGGCTCATTTTCTCAGACATAAAAGCATCTTTTCATTAGTGTTTCTGTTTCTTATATGTGCTCTGGGAAAAAAGTCTTTGAAATGGGAAGTGATTTTTATTCCCTGGCTCTTACAGTTGTGAAACTGCTGCTAAAATCTCTCTGAGGTTCAATGTCTTAAAACACCCTATTGATGGTTATAGGAATTACTACAATGTATTTAATCATTTCCATTGGTAAACTGCCCAAACCTGTGTATCAACAGCACCGGTCAAATCCCTGACTCTTGCTGTCCTCTCCTGTTTTGACTGCACACAAATGATGTGGAGTTTTGGGGGTTTTTAGGGTTTTTTCTTTCAAATTACAAAGGAACAACAAAATCAAATTGGGGAATTTGGACATTGAGCAAACTCTTCCTGCCTGTTACGGTTATTTATGGATGGGCAAAGAACCGACAGGTAAATCTCCATCCTTTGAAAGGGTGTTACTGGAGTTGGGAGGCTGAAGTCTATCAAGGCAGGGCAGTGCTGTCCTGGGGGTTTTGGTGAGGGTTGGACACTCTGGGGATGGCCTGAGCACGGGGATGGAGGGAGAAAGGGTGGACCAGGCAGGGTTATCCCTGAGGCTGCTCACCCTCCCGTGAGAGAGGAGGATTGGGCTGTCACAGCCTGCCTTCTGCTGCCCAGGCCTGGCCCTGGCTGCTTGGCCATGGGAGGGCATCGCAGTGCTGTCCTGGGGGTTTTGGTGAGGGTTGGACACTCTGGGGATGGCCTGAGCACGGGGATGGAGGGAGAAAGGGTGGACCAGGCAGGGTTATCCCTGAGGCTGCTCACCCTCCCGTGAGAGAGGAGGATTGGGCTGTCACAGCCTGCCTTCTGCTGCCCAGGCCTGGCCCTGGCTGCTTGGCCATGGGAGGGCATCTCCTGT